CTTACCTGCTGTTCCTCAGAGGGCTGAAATCCAGAATATATACAGAACTCAAAAAGTTAGGCCTTCCAAAGCAAAAGACCCAATCAAAAACTAGACAAGTGACACACCCAGAAGCTACTTTCCTCTTCCTGTAAGCCACACAAACCAGACGGAGCCTGGGAAGAGATGCCAGATTACCTCTCCTGTGAGCAGACTGCACCCAGGCCACCTCTCCAAGCAACTGGCTGGTGTAGGGGACAGGCTGAGTTTACAGCGATTGAGGTACAAAAATAACTAAATGCTTGGATTGTTTGATTGACTTTGCAAGACTAAGGCCGGTTTCCTAAGCATCTACTAGGATGATAACAGTATACAATATGGCAAATATGGGGGATTTCGTTTTGTCTTGTTTTTGAAATCCAGTATTATTCTCACTGTTTTATTCTGATTTATTGGTTTGTTTTATTCAATGCTCTATTTTGATTGGTTTTATTCTGTTTTGTTGTATTCAATTTTACTATGTCTGAGGAAATGGACAACTATTGTGACAATAACAAGATAAAGTATGGTAGCCATTGTTGATGACCTAATTGCCTTGTTTTGAAATTATGTACCACTTTCACTGCCTTGTTTTGATTGGCTTTATTCTGTTTTGTATTGTTGGATTTTACTCTCCTTAAAATAAAAAAAAAAAATGGGCAAGTGAAATAAATAGACACTTTTCAGAAGAAGTAAAAATGGCCAATAAATACATGAAAACTTTGATTATCTCTGGCCACTAGAGAAATGCAAATTTCTCTAAAACCACCCTAAGATTACTTCTTACCTCAGAAAGAATGGTTATCATCAAAAAATCAAAGAAAGAAAGAAAATAACAAGTGCTGGTGAGGCTGAGGGAAAAGGGACCCTTTGTGATTGGTGATGGGAATAAACACTAGCACAACTACTATGGAAATCAATATCGAGGACCCTCAAAACACTAAAACTAGAAATTCCATTTTACCCGTATATTCCCCTAAAGTATTTTCCCAAAGAGTTAGATTCATTATGTTTTAGAGACATATGCAGTCCCATGATTATAGCAGCACAATTTGTAATAGCTAAATATTGGGAATGGCCTTTATGTCCATCAACAGATGAATGGGTAAATGTGATATTTATACACAGTAGACTGCTACTTTGCCATGAAAAAGGATAAACTTGAGTCATTTGTGGAAAAATGAATCGACTTTGAGACCATAATGTTAGGTGAAATAACATTAACCAGACATCGTAAATATCACATCATTTCTCTCATATAAGAAACCTGAAATATAAATAAAGAACAAACTAAGGGATAGATAATAAGAACTAGAAGAAGAGGTTGCAAAAGAATTCAGATGTACATGGACCAACTTGTCATAAGGAATATAATCATTATATATTGGAAACATATACTAATAAAATTAAAATTGAAAATAATAAAAAAATGGAGGGGGAGACCCCCCTGGAGCACCGATATAAACGAGCCATCATGTTCAGCTAATAAAAATAGTCATTGTTAACTTTATGGAACCTTATTATATGCTCCAGGTCTTTCATGTATAATAACTAATTAACACTCATAAAATCGCTATGAAATCAGGACTATATGTTTAAACCCTTATTAACATAAAATAAAATTGAACAACAAAGAAACCGAGTAACTTCCCAAATTCTCACGTTAATAAGTAGAAAAGCAGGACATGAAATCAGGCCATCTGGCTCCCCTCTGCCGATACTGCAAATTACCCATCTCATTACTTTAGATGTACGGCACTGACTGCGGAGTTCCTTGACCTGTAATAAGTGGAAACCTGGTCCAGTTATTGTTAAAATCAGCGACAGGATTTTTGTGCATTTTTGCTACAACACCTGCTGCTGACAAGTCGCTGCCACGTGGTCCACAGAAGGTAGAACGGGAGGGGCTTCATTCCCTGCTGTCCAGCGGGGGTCACCAGGATCTGTCCTTCAGCACAAGGCCAGCCCGTGACCTTTCCAGACTCACACCCTGCTCAGGCTCACCTCTGGTTTCCACCCTCCGTCTCAAATGGAACGACACGGAGGCGAACTCGGATTCCACATCAGCCCGGACTGACATCAAGATGATACAGAACACGTTCTAACTATTAAAATCATTTCCGATTGCCCCTGGAATACAGCCACTGAGTTTAGAGAATGCACAGATCGACCCTTCGTAGTACACACTTCCTCGGAAGTGCCAAGGGATGTGAGGCCCATCTCGGGAACTCATGAGCTCATACTGAGGGGCACCATAAAAAACACACATGGTGGGCTGGGGATTTAGCTCAGCGGCATAAGCGTCTGCCTTGCAAGCAGGCAGTCGTGAGTTCGATCCCCAGTCCGATAAAAACGAAAAAGACAAAAAAAAAAAAAAAATTAAACACACATGGTAAACCCACCCTGTGTCTGACAATGCAATGACTGAAGTCACTGTCTCAAACGCTGTATTTGGAAAAAGTTTCTCTTTTTGATCTTAGAATCAAGAATTGATGTGTTTTCCTTAAGAAGTTTTTATTTTGTGTTTTCACATGCTGGACATGTGATGTCTTGTCTTATCATAATTTGTAATTATGGACTTGTTTGACAGATTTCTGGATATCTGTTTTACACTGATCTTTAAGTACTGAGAAGGCAAAAACCATGTGTATCTCTGTCCTCCCTTTGTTCCCAGCACTTCTTACAGAACCTGGCATGTAATAAATTCTCATTGAATGTTTGTTGACTGAATAAGTAACTGAATGAGTTAATGAATGAATAAAACTTATGAGCTATAGGCTGGTCAATTATCTTTCTGCATAGCTGCTAAAAGATTTACAGCTGGATTGCTTCCTTTCCTGCCAGGGCTCTACCCTGAGGTTCCTTTTTTCTTTCCCTTCTACTTCTAAATTAGGCTGCCTTGTTATATTTTATGAGTCCTGGCAAATGTTTTTAAATCCCTTTGAAACAAGGTAGGAGAGAGATAAATATATTTTCCAAAGTCTTTTTATATGTATTTAAAGTCTTAACACTAAACCTTCTGCCAACAAACACACTTGATCATCTGCAAACCTTAATAGCTGAACGATGCTAACTCTAGCACTGTACTAATATTTAAAGCAAATTCCAACCCCAGCCCAAGAAGCCACAGGTGGTACTGTTATTTCGGGCACCACTGCGTTTTGTGTGTGGAACAAACACATTTCTAGTAGGGAGCAGTGCAATTTGATGAACATGAAAGAACAGAGGGTGTGATGGGACACATCTGTCATGCCAGCCACTTGGGAGGCTGAGGCAGGAGGACAGCAAGTTCAAAGTCAGCCTGGGTAACCTGACAAAGCAGTTTATCTCAAAATAAACTTTCAAGGGGGGAGGGGGTGTGGCTTGGTTGTAGAACCCTTGTCTAGCATGCATGAGGCTTTGCATTCGATCCCCAGGATCCACGCCTCAAATAAGAAAGAACATAGAGAATCCTACAGATTACTGTGGGTGTGGGATCAAGGATGACTGACTAGTGGGTTTTCAATGTGCTGACCTCATGATCACGGTGAAAAGTTACTTGGTCCCTGTGTACGGGAGAGAGATGAACGGGCTGGGCAAGGTCTTGGTTTGTAGGCCCTGAGAAAAGTCACATCACTTACAGGATGAAGGTGGACCGTTAGAAAGTAAAAATATCCAATGGTCTAAGCCCTTTTAAAATCTGACATATATTATTCATATGCTAAAGGGAGGTCTTTGCAAGTCTGAAATATGCAAGTCTGAAATTTCATAGCTACCTTCTTGGCCGTACTCATCTAAAGCACTTTCACTTCAAAAATTGACCATCTCGTTCTTCCTTAAAACAGAAACATAACTTTCAAGTCCCACTAATGCAAACATCCTTTACCATGTAAGTTAAATACCTCAGGAATCCCGGCTGGCCCCTCAAACCCGGTGTGAGAGGAACTGAGCTGGCCCTGTCCACGCCCTAGGCTCCTGCCAGGATGCCCACCAACCCTTCCATAGGGCTTAGTCAGAAACCCAGATTTGATTTCTATTATTTATAAGGCTCACTTGAGTCAACTGAATCTTAGATGTCTGCCAGAGGAGGGAAGGTGGGCGTAAAGAAACCAATGGATAATAATTGTGTGTCATAGATAAATGACAATTTTTTAAAGGATTTGATAGGATGTGGGCTGGGGCTTGCTTTTTAAAAATTATTTATATTTGGCAGGGCATGAAGCTTATGGATGAGAAAAGGGAGGAGGAGGAGAAGCAAGACAATAGGCCAGATCAGAGATCCTGATCAGCATCCTGAAGTAGCGTGCCCCTCCCTCCCTGCCTCCCTTCCCCAGCACCAGGTAGGCTGCGGTCCAGATGTCTAAACTAAGCCGACACTGCCTCGGCTTCCTGGACCCAGGGGGGCTTCCTTTCAGGCGACAGAAGTGAGGGGAGGCAGAATGGAAGCTAAAGGTGAACACACTGGCAACATCTCCTCCGGGAGAGTGGGCTTTTTTCCCTCCAAAGTGATGGGGTTGCACACCAACCAGACCCTGCACAGAGCCTGCTCATTCGTCAGCTGCAGACCCGCCTCACCTGCGCATCGCGCCCCCAGGGGGCACAGCAGATCCCGGGGCTCCCTGGAGGGCGGTGGCCGACAGCGGGAACGGAAAGGAGGGGAAGAAAGGAGAAGGGAGGGGAAGGGAAGGCCGGGCACCCGACTGAGCGAGGCAACCCCAGACCGAAGAAAGCCCCACCGGTCGGTCGGGCGTCCCCCCGCAGGAGCCTGCTCCCGGCGCTCGCAGCCCGGATTTGCACACGTTGCATCCTAAGCCGAGACCTTCAGGCGTGCACCACGCAGCCGCGGCCAGGGCTGCCCGGCGGGTAAACAGCGCGCCCGGCCGCTCCGGGCGGCAGCTCGCTGCTGCAGCAGCCCCCGCCCGGCGGCGGGATGCGCGGGGCGGCGAGGCCACCGGCTGCCCCGCGCCCCCGGAGCCCGCCAGCCTCCCAGCAGGCCCGCTTACCTCCCGCGCTGCACCCCATCCATCGCCGGCGCCGTGCGCAGCGGGCCGGGCTCCCGGGGCGGCTCGGGGACGGGGACGGGGACGGGGACGCGCTGCTGCATGCGGCCGCCGCCTACTCCGCACAGCGCCGTCCGCCACGCGTTCCGCCCCGCGCGGGGCACAGCCGGCCGGGGCCGCTCGCTGCAGGCTGCCGCTGCCTGACAAAAGGCTCCGGCTCCCGCGCGCCCCTCACGGCCCCGCGCCCACAATTAAATCCATGTCCCGCGGCAGGCTGGCAGGAAATGAGCTCGCCGCCGCCGCCGCCGCCGCGCGCGCTGACAAAGGCCGCCTCGCCGCGCGCACAGCGCCCCCTACAGGCCGGCCGGCCGCGGCCCGCGCAGGGCGCCCCGCGCTGCAGTGTCCCCGCCCGCGCCCGCAGTGTCGCCGCCCGCTGCCGCAGGCCCGCGCCCGGCCGCCCACGTCCACCGCGCAGGGCGCCGCTCCCTGCCGGGCCAGCCCAGCGCCGGGGAGCACCCCGGTACTAGGAAGAAAAGGAAAGGACGGCTCCCTTAGGGGCTGTCTCCTCCCTGAGCTTAAAAAAAAGCTTACACTTGGAATAAATGTTTGATCGGGGAACGGCACCTTGCCTTTGGGTGTTAGCTCTGTCAGTGATGTTCACAGCAATCGTTGAGTGAATTCTAAACCCAAATTATTGTGATTCCGTTTTCAAGCAGGATAAATTTCTGTTATGGCCCCGGCCTCCCAGCACTCTCTGCATCCTCCTCGGTCTCTTCCCTTCCCCACAGGGAACAGACGTGCAGGCAGTGTGAAACCCCATGGGGGATCAGGAATTAACTTGGCTGCAGTCTCGGACCTGTCATTACTCAGCTGTGTGACCTCGATGAAGCCACTTAACCCCCTGGGCTGGCACCATCTAGACCATCGCTAGCCTTGTGTGCAGCGTTCCTCCAGCCTGATCCTGAGAGTAAGTATCAAGGGGCAGCTTGGGACTCCACGTATCCATAATCTCCCTTAAGCCCCCAGAGCGCCCCTAAATCAACACTGAAATCACCCTGGCCACCGATCCCAAACCAGACCTCAGCACTCTGCCGCTTCCAGTTTCCAGGGTATCACAGATCCCCCAAACCCCCGCAACACTCCCTGGGCCCCATCATGTGCTGCCGCTGCCGTGGAAGCAGTCTCCGCAGGGCTCAGGCCCTGAGGTTTTTAACAAACACCCTGAGTGATTTTTTTGGCACACTAGCATTTAAAAGCTGCACTCTGTGCGGACTTAGAAAAGAGGCAGCGCCATCACGGAAGGGCTCTGAGGCTTCAGATGCCTGGGCCAAGTTCTTCAGGTCCCCCAGCCCAGCCCCGACCTCACCTCACCCCCACAGCCCGGGTCCCTGCACCCTCTTGAGCTGCTCACTCACTCCCATCCCTTGTCAGAAGCACAGGGGTCACAAGTTCTCCCCCATTTTCCCAGGGAAGCTTGCTAGGAGAATTACAGCGAGCACAGACACAGACAGACAGGAAAACTCTTTCCTTGTCCCTAGTCTCCAAAGCCAACGAAGCTCTGAAGTAATGTATTTATTGAGACACTCCCGGGCTGTGACAAAGCTGGGCTGCTGGGCAATGAGACGGAGGAACCTGGATACCTGTTCTCCACCCCCAAAAAAATCAAGAATTTTTATTTAGTCTAGAAATTGCAGGTTTCATAAGTCCTCTCAATGATCTCTGTCACTCAAGTTTCTCTTCCTAGGGTGTTAGTGTTCTCAAACCAATACTAGCTAACTCCAATTGACTTCTGAAGCCTTTAAGTACATTCTTACTCCTTACAAAAGCTCTATGAGTAGTAATACCCTCATTTTACAGATGAAGAAAGTGGCACTCAGAGAGGTTAAGTAATTTCTTGGGAACTGCACAGATATTAGTTGGCCAAACCAGTATTCAAACTCACACACTCTGGCTGTAGAGCTCATCGGCCCTAACTCCATATGTCATGGCTCCGCAAAGGGGACAAAAAACAATAGATATTTAAAAGCAAAATTATAACAAGACACTGACAAGGCAGATAGTTTTCTTTTCCCAAAACAGTGATTCTGCTCCTCTGGCTATTACAGGATTAAAAAAAAAAAAAAAGAAAGAAAGAAAGAAAAGAAAAGGAAAGAAGAAAGCATGGAAGGAAGAAAAAAGAAAACATGCTCCACATTTCCCAGATGCCGCCTGTGTGTGAGGGTGCTGAGAATCATGGTTCAGATGCCAGACAGGGAACAAGACATCCTTAAGTTCCACACTAATAATCTATGTAAAATTTTCATTAAATTTCTAGAAATTCTCACTCAATTCCAAATTCACTTTGAAATCCAGTAAAATGAAGTACGACGGTTGCTGGCTGCAGCCATCGCCAGCCCACAAGACGTCCAGGTTCCCACTGCAGCAAGTGCTGGGTCCCTGGCTCTCAACTCTCGAGGGAAAAGCACAGGAGAACCCAGGCCTGACCTGAATACAGCTGCCTAACCCCGTGGCCAGACCAAGCATAAAATTAGATTTCCTGATTGATTTGCACTAAAATCATGTCTCTAGGTCTTCTGACAGAAATGTTTCTGAACAGCAATAACTCATAGGGAGAGAAGCTGGCTGTGCGGTAGACACACAGTTCCTTGCGAGGCAGCCCGTGAGCTGGCTCCAAGGACCCCTGCTCCTGGGATTCACACCCTGCACAACTCGCTCCCCTTAGGTGCCACCGTGACTCACCTCTACCCTGTGGGGTGCAGCCAAGGTGATGAGATGCCATTTCTTCAGTGACCCTACATAAAACACTTTTTCATGGTAACAGATGATTATCTTCCTCTTTGCATGTTCCATTAAGTAGCCATATTGGAGAGACCCACATGGGGCAGGAAATGGTAGAATCCAGCCAGGAGTGCCAGAGGAAGGGAATTCTGCTAACAGCCACCTGAGTTTATTGGTAGGCCCTTCTCCAGCCAACACTTCAGCTCAGACCATAGCCCTGGCCAATACTTTGAGAAACCTTGAAGCACAAGACCCATAAAATCATATCCGGATTTATCTCCTGACCCCCAGAAACTGTGTGATAACAAATCTGTTGCTCTAAATTTGGAGTAATTTGTTACACAGCATGGGTTTAGGCATAATTATGAGTGGCCTTCCCTGGGAAATGCTGGGAAAGCTGGAGGAATTAACACCTCTGGAAATTAGCCTTAAACCCATGATGGTGGGGAATTAGTGAATCAATAGCCTGGTTGGGTCTCCCTGGGTGTGGAGAAGATGCCTCTGAGGTGGGTTTTATATGATCTCCCAGCGTCTCAGCAGGACTGAGCCCTGGCTGCCCACAGCAGGAGCCTTTCCAGCCAAGCCTCTTCTCTGGCCTCTCTTCCCCATTCTATACTGCTCCGATCATGATGAACTTCAGGAGAAGACAGAGGAGGGTGACAGACAGTGCTTTCAACACAAGACCAAAGAAAAACTGCAAGTTTATATCTTCTGAGACACTATTTCCCCAACAAATGAAAGTTTGTCCATCCGGTGGCTGAGATCCACCCTGGAAGGAGAACTGAATTGGGGTTCAAGGGCCCTCGGGAACGCCCCTGATCCCTGGTCTCTTCCCAGCTATAAAGGGAAGGTAACAGTGCTGCTCTGTTATGATCATATTCTATCCTTTCTTAATATTTGCATGTTGAAGTCATGACCTTTGGTACCTTAGACTGTAACTGAGGAAATAGATCCTTTCAAGAGATAATGAAGATACTGTTAGATCACATGTGTTAGCTTTGTTCCAATGTGACTGGTGTATTTATAAGAGGACACATAGCTAGACATGATGTCGCAGGTCTGTAATCATAGCACTCTGGGAGGCTGAGGCAGAAAGATCACAAATTCAAGCCCTAGCCAGGGCGATTGACTCAGCAAGATCTTGTCTCAAACATTTTTGAAAAAGGCCTAGGGATGTAGCTCAGAACAAAGTAACACAAAAAAAAAGGGAGAAGGGTATGTGGGAGACACAGAGGAGAAAGAGGAAATTTGGGCACAAACTAGAGAGGGAGGACCACCAGACCTCCAGACTGTGGGTAGAGCTACCGTGAGCCTGGTGTGTTTTGTTAGCTTTCCACCCCTGTGACAAAATACCTCAGAAAAACAGTCTAGGGGAGAAAAGGTTTGTTTTGCTTCAGTTTCAGAGGATTTAATCCATGGTGAGCTGGCTCCATTGCTTTTTAGGCTTAAGGTGAGGCAGAAACATCACAGGGGAAGAGCTAGCCCAAGCAACAGTGTTCGTTTTATGGCAGCCAGAAAGCAGAAAGAAAAAAAGAGCCAGAGCTCCAGTATCCCCTTCAAGGAGACACTCTAATGCCCCCAAGTTCTCCATCTAAGTCCTCGGTGCACTTCCCAATAGCACTGAGGCTTGGGGACCAGGCCTTCAGCATGTGAGCCTTGGGGAACATTCCAGAGCTGACCCGTAAAGCCTGGTGCTACGCGGATCCTCTGGGAGAGTCTCACATGACCACAGGTGCTAAGTACATTGGTTCCTTCTTCTCCCAGCCCTTTGCAAGAAGCAAGATCCAGGAGGGATGCTGTTTTCAGTTTCACCACTCGCCCAGTAGGATTATTCCGGAGTTGGTATTGCTAGAGAGTGTTAATGCTTTCAGGGTCTGCCCTGAAACTTGAGACTGATGCCGCACATGGACCCAGAGCTTCTGGTCCCGAGACCATGACTCTTTCACTGCCTAACAACACCTAGAACCAGCAGACAGTTCCCACGGATGCCACTTTGGGGTGCACAACTCACATCAATAAGGAGGTTTTTTTAATCCCTACCTTGAAGTCCAAATCCACACGATGCCAAATTCAACAGAAACAGATTCCACTGTCAGGGCCTTTAAGCTCTGCAAGTCACTGAAGAGGATGAAGAGGCCAGAGCTAGCTCTCTGCCACGTGAGCACATAGTGAAGGCGGCTGCCTTCAGCCAGCAGGTAGCCCTCAACAGGAGCAGCTCTGCCTCAGCTTCATCTTGTTTCCCAGCCTCTGAAACTAGGAGAAATCTATTCGTTGCTCCGCCACCTAGTGGGTGGTATCTGTTATTGCAGCTAGGTTCCCCCGCCCCCGCCCTTTTTTTTGTCTTTTTCCTTTTTTTTTTTTTTTGATTTATAGTAGCTACTATGCTTTCGCTTGTTATTTTCAATAGAATTTTCCACATCATCAGGCATTATGTAGTTAAGCATAACATTACATAGATATTTTTATAAAAACACAACTTTGAAGACGTTGTAGGACTTGAAAGCAGTTAATAATCAAAACTGGAATGGATATCTTT